CTATAGAAATTTGCTAAGTCCTCCAGGGGATTCTATGTTGTGTTTCCTCTGGAAGTTATCATAAAATTGTGTTGAAGAACACAGTAATTTTCTAGAGAGACTTTTTTTTCATGGAGTGCAGGTAAGTGAAACCTTGGATATTGGTTGTGCCATTATGGGGCGCCTTACTGCACAGTGTGTTTCACCTCCCAAGAATCATGGGAATCCAACTCCCACCAGCACATATAACACTGTGGCCATATTTTGAATTATCTTAATGTATTGTTGAAGGGTGTCATGGCCGGAATCACTGGGTTGTTGTAGGTTTTTTCGGGCTATATGGCCATGGTCTAATTTACCCAATTTACCTGTCTGAACGTATCTTTCCCTATGAGCCATCAAGATTACTAAGATCATCTGGAGGGGCCCTGCTCTCGATCCCACCGGCCTCACAAGCACGGCTGGTGGGGACGAGAGACAGGGCCTTCTCGGTGGTGGCCCCTCGACTCTGGAACTCCCTTCCACTGGAGATCAGAACTGCCCCTTCGATTTTAACGTTCAGGAAACAGGTGAAAACCTGGCTTTGGGGATTGGCATTCAACGAATGAGCCATGATCCTGTGATATGGATGGATGACGACGAATAATGACTTTGATGACGACCGACCACTGTAATCATATGATTGCATTTTTGCCATTTTCATTGTTTCAATGTTTTAATGTTTTAGTGTGATTTAGAAATATGGTGTTTTAATGACGATCCGTAATACTGATGTTGGAAACCGGCCCGAGTCCCTCGAATGGAGGTGAGAAGACCGGTATATAAAACTAGCAAATAAATAAATAATGGTCTAGAGCAGTGTTTCTCAACGTTCCTAATGCCGTGACCCCTTAATCCAGTTCCTCGTGTTGTGGTGACCCCCAACCATAACAATATTTTTGTTGCTACTTCATACAGTAATTTTGCTGCTGTTCTGAATCGTCATGTAATACCAGATATACAGGATTTATTTTCATTCACTGGACCAAATTTGGCACAAATACCCAATACGCCCAAATTTGAATGCCGGTTGGGTTGGGAGGGGACTGAATTTGTCATTTGGGAGTTGTAGTTGCTGGAATTTATAGTTTACCTACAACCAAAGAGTACTCTGAACTCCACCAACTATGGAATTGAACCAAACTTGGCACACAGAACTCTCATAACCAACCGAAAATACTGGAAGGATTTGGTGGGCATTGACCTTGAGTTCTGGAGTTGTAGTTCACCTAAATCCAGAGAGCACAGTAGACTCAAACCATGATAGACCTGGGACCTGGACCACACTTGGCATGAATACTCAATATGCCTGAATGTGAATGTAGAGTTTGGGGAAAATAGACCTTGACATTTGGGAGTTGTCGTTGCTGGAATTTATAGTTCACCTACAATCAAAGAGCATTCTGAAACCCACAAACAATGGAATTGTGCCAAACTTCCCACACAGAACCCCCATGACCAACAGAAAACAATATGGTGTTTTCTGATGGTCTTTGGCGACCCCCCTGACACCCCCTCGCGACCCCCCAAGGGGTCCCGACCCCTAGGTTGAGAAACGCTGTCTAGAGGCATTCTCTCCTGACATTTCACCTGCATCTATGGCAAGCATCCTCAGAGGTAGTGAGGTCTGTTGGAACTAGGAAAAGGGTTTATATATCTGTGGAATGACCAGGGTGGGACAAAGGACTCTTGTCTGTGGAGCTAGGTGTGAATGTTTCAACTGACCACCTTGATTAGCATATAATGGCCTGACAGTGCCTGGAGCAAACTTTTGTTGAGAGGTGATTAGATGTCCTTGTTCGTTTCCTCTCTGTTGTTGTGCTGTTGTAATTTTAGAGTTTTTTAATACTGGTAGCCAGATTTTGTTCATTTTCATGGTTTCCTCCTTTCTGTTGAAATTGTCCACATGGTTGTGTATTTCAATGGCTTCTCTGTGTAGTCCGACATGGTGGTTGTGAGAGTGGTCCAGCAGAGAGGAAATAATCTAGGACATCTAATCACCTCTCAACAAAAGATTGCTCCAGGCACTGCCAGGCCATCAAATGCTAATCAAAGTGGTCAGTTGAAACATTCACACCTAGCTCCAGCAGACAAGAGTTCTTTGTCCCACCCTGGTCATTCCACAGATATATAAACCCTTTTCCTAGTTCCAACAGACCTCACTACCTCTGAGGATGCTTGCCATAGATGCAGGCAAAACGTCAGGAGAGAATGCCTCTAGACCATGGCCATATAGCCCGAAAAAACCTACAACAACCCAATTATCTTAATTATGGCCTTCTTAGCTGGCCCTTTTTCCTACCTGCAGGAAATGATTTATTAGAACCTATGTTTGGGTAAGTAGTTAATGGGTCCATTGGTTCATCTCCAGATGTTGGCTGCCTTCATCTGATGACATTACATCTAATAGATGATTTGGAGCCTGCGTCAGAACAAAGGAAGCAAAGAGAGACCTAAAATTAACACACTTTCTGTCCTTCTGGGACACTAATCCAAATAATTATTTTGCTCAAGCAATAGGTTTAAAAATCTCTTTTTGTTTCACATCTATAATGAAAGTAATTCTGTAGACCAAGAATGAGGACCATGTTGGGAGCCCCAGGTGGCAAAATGGGTTAAACCCCTGTGCTGGCAGGACTGAAGACTGACAGGTCGCAGGTTCTAATCCAGGGAGAGTGTAGATGAGCTCCCTCTATCAGCTCCAGCTCCCCATGTGAGGACATGAGAGAAGCCTCCCACAAGGATGGTAAAACATCAAAAAACATCTGGGCGTCCCCTGGGCAACGTCATTGCAGGCAGCTAATTCTCTCACACCAGAAGCGACTTGCAGTTTCTCAAGTCGCTCCTGACATGACAAAAAAAGTCATTCCAGAGATATATAAACCCCACTTGCCTAGTTTCCAACAGACCTCACAACCTCTGAGGGTGCATGCCATAGATGTGGGTGAAATGTCAGGAGAGAATGCTTCTGGAACATAGACATACAGCCCAGAAAACTCACAGCAACCCAGTGATTCCAGCCATTAAAACCTTCAACAATACAATGCTTGCTTTTCTCCTCCACAGTGTCGGACTATTACATTGTTTTGTGTAAACTACCAAAACGAGTGTAGATGAGCTCCCTCTATCAGCTCCAGCTCCCCATGCGGGGACATGAGAGAAGCCTCCCACAAGGATGGTAAAACATCAAAAACATCTGGGCATCCCCTGGGCAACGTCATTGCAGACAGCTAATTGTCTCACACCAGAAGCGACTTGCAGTTTCTCAAGTCACTCCTGATACGACCAAAAAAAAAAAAAAAGAAACATGTTTGTCACTATTGCTTTCTAATGTCATTCAAACTGCCAGAAAGCCCCCAATCAGTGAAAGTCCATCAGTCATCCAACAATTTTTTTTTGGTGTGTGTTGTATCCTATTAGAAAGTTACCATTTAATTCACCTTTTTCAAAAGTGTATCCTCTGCCCCAAAGGCTTCCAATGGAAACTAAATGTGTTGAGGACCACAACAATGGCCCTGGGAACCCCATGCAAACCCAGAGCTATATTTTGCCCACTCCTACTCAAAGCATATTGGAGAAATGGGCATGGGAAGAAAGCATACCAGGTCCAACATGGGACTTTGCAGACCTTTTACACACATCTTGGAGACTATGCAGCCCACCCACCCAAGAAAAGCAATAAGGCTTTGCACATCCAGATGTTGCTGTTTTTTTTTTCTGATTGGAATTAAATTGGATAAAACTAAATATTGTCCCTTCCAGCACAAGTACAATATTTGTCTTGCAAAACTAATCTGGCGGATTACTGTGGCATCCCTAGATAATAGATGAATTATTTCAAATCTTTATTAAAAATTTGCAGTCCCCCCTGGGAAGCTTCGGGGAGAGGAGATTCATTTGAAATGTATTATGTCAAGTAAATGCATTCATGCCAGGTAAATTAAAAATCAGATAATTTCTTCCTCTCTGCTCTGATACGCTGAATTTGTGAAAAGGTTCAATTGGGCATTGCCTTAGCAGCTATTCAAAGCATGACCACTAATTGAGGAACAAGGATTGAGATGTAGGTGGTGTTGTGGGCTGCAGATTCATAGACTGAAACAATCCTCCCATCTAGGGCAGTGGTTCTCAACCTGGGGGTCGGGACCCTTGGGGGTCATGAGGGGGTGTCAGAGGGGTCGCTAAAGACCATCATAAAACGCAGTATTTTCTGTTAGTCATGGGGATTTTGTGTGGGAAGTTTGGCCCAATTCTATCATTGGTGGGGTTCAGAATGCTCTTTGATTGTAGGTGAACTATAAATCCCAGCAACTACAACTCCCAAATGTCAAGGTTCTATTTTCCCCAAACTCCACCAGTGTTCACATTTGGGCATATTGAGTATTCGTGCAAGTTTGGTCCAGATCCATCATTGTTTGAGTCCACAGTGCTCTCAGGATGTAGGTGAACTACAACTCCAAAACTCAAGGTCAATGCCCACCAAACCTTTCCATTATTTTCTCTTGGTCATGGGAGTTCTCTGTGCCAAGTTTGGTTCAATTCCATCATTGGTGGAGTTCAGAATGCTTGTATGATTGTAAGTGAACTATGAATCCCAGCAACTACAACTCCCAAATGACAAAACTCCCCCCAACTCCACCAGTATTCAAATTTGGGCGTATTGGGTATTTGTGCCAAATTGGGTCCAGTGAATGAAAATACATCTTGCATATCAGATATTTACATGACAATTCATAACACTAGCAAAATGACAGAAGTAGCAACAAAAATAATTTTATAGTTGGGGGTCACCCCAACATGAGGAACTGGATTAAGGGGTCGCGGCATTAGGAAGGTTGAGAACCACTGATCTAGGGTCTCTGCTCAGGACAACAGAAGATATATGTTTGGTGGCGTCTTTGTGATACAAGTCTTTTTTGTTGTACTGCGAGATGTTTTTCATTGCATTTACTGATGGCATGACTTTTCCCTCAACTTGTTAGTGCTCAATAAAGACATCGGCACCTGCCGCACCATGACCATTACGGGGACTCTGAAGCGTCCTTCTCTGCAGGACGAGGAGAAGCTGAAGCTGAACCAGCAGAAGGGTTCGTCAAACTTTAACAGTCTTCCAGCCAACGTCTCCAAGATGCACCTCCAAGGGTCCCCACATTACCTAGGGGCCATCAACCTCAACGACTTCAGCAATCACACCCTGACTTTGAAGAAGGACAAGAGCCAGCCTCCCAAGTCCATCTACATCTGTGATGGAGATATCTTCAAAAAGCTGGACTCGGAGCTTTCCCGGGCACAGGATCAAGCCATAGACACCAGCTATGTCATCCTGCCCAGCAACACCTCCACCTTGCGGCCTAAGCCACCTCCGCCACCCCCACCGCCCAAGGACGATACAAAATACAGCATCAACATAGACCAGATGCCTCAAACGAGGCTCATCCACCTCAGCATGGCCACAGACCCAGGCTTTGTTGTCAAGAGCCCCCCAAGGGAACCTGTGGGGATGAGCTGTGGGGAGATTCAGGCTTCCCCGCTGATGCAGCAGCAACAACAACATCAGTTGTCACCGCCTCTGGTTAACAAATCTGGTGACTCAAAAATGCCAAACAGCTTGTGTGACACAGGCGAGTCTGGCCATCCTGGAGTGATACCCAAGGGTGAGAACATCTCTACCCTTTCCATGAGTTCTCTTGAGGTAAGTGTCAGGTAGCTTTGTGGTCATTCCTGGTCTTTCCTGCACGATGTCCCAGTTATACCTGCATCTTCTTGTTTTCCAAAACATCTCATTGCCAGCAGCTGTGTAGTTGCAGCATTTGAGGGAGAAATGTGAGCTTTGCCTCCCAAATAAAAATCCCTCCATGAAAATTTCATTTCCCCAATGTCTAGCATTGCAAGTGATTAAAACGATAGCCTAGAATTTAGAAATACAATGGAGCCAATAAGCAGATAAAGTTGCCAAGGAAATCCAAACACAGCCAATGGAAGAGTTCTAATTATGAACCATTTTAAGAGTCTCGCTCTTTGAAATGGGGACCAAAGGAAATGTTGTTTAGGGAGCATGTTTAATATTTCAGGACAGTGCCAGAAGCAGCAATGCAGCAGAGACAGTAGAGTATAGGAGGTGTCTAATTTGGGAATATTTTCTCTTTGCCCACATAACTCATTCAGCAAGTTCTCTTGACCTTCCTGTACTATTTCAAGAGGACTCAATACAATGGCTGAGGATGACGTTCACTTCTACTATTGCAGTAGCACGTATCATATTAACATCTGTGTCTTGTCGAGTGACACAATATTAACCATTTCATATGACACAGACACACACAATCTACCGAACAATCTATTTTGTTAACTGTTAATAACCTTTGTTTTCCTTTCCCTCTCCAGAGGCGGAAATCCCGGTACGCAGAACTAGATTTTGAGGTGAGCATTTCCTGCTTCCTATTTTTGTGTTTCTTTCTTTTCCCTCCATATTTTTATTATTTTTCAGCATTATAAGTTGCTGTTGTTCATTCGTTCAGTCGTCTCCGACTCTTTGTGACCTCATGGACCAGCCAGAGCTCACTGTCGGTCGTCACCACCCCCAGCTCCCTCAAGGTCAGTCCAGTCACTTCAAGGATGCCATCCATCCATCTTGCCCTTGGTCGGCCCCTCTTCCTTTTGCCTTCCACTTTCCCCAGCATCATTCCCTTCTCTAGGCTTTGCTGTCTCCTCATGATGTGGCCAAAGGACTTCAACTTTGTCTCTAGTATCCTTCCCTCCAATGAGCAGTCGGGCTTTATTTCCTGGAGGATGGACTGGTTATTATATCCCATGAAAATGAACACACACACACACACATACACATACACACACATAAAACCACAAGGGTACAAACTAAAAAATATATATGGTGACTCTAAACAAACCAACCATGGGGTTTTCTCTACAACAGTTGCTCAGAGGGCATTTGCATGTGATGATGATCAGGGAGGCATGGGTAATAATATGTGTTTCTTTCCCATCACATCACTTAAAAGAGTATATACAGATGCAATACATCAGTTAAGATAAGATCTATTGAAATCTATCAATACTTCAAAACAATTATTTACAAGGAATCTGGATAGGCCTTTTGGAAGAGACTGGTCTTTATTGCTGATTTAGTCCAGTTTGCATCTCAAGATGGCACATTTCTGTTGATTTATTGACCTCTTGAGTGTCTACTCAAAGGCACAAAGAAGAGAAGGCTGAGAGAAGATATGATAGCCATGTATAAATATGTGAGAGGAAGCCACAGGGAGGAGGGAGCAAGCTTGTTTTCTGCTTCCCTGGAGACTAGGACACGGAACAATGGCTTCAAACTACAAGAGAGGAGATTCCATCTGAACATGAGGAAGAACTTCCTGACTGTGAGAGCCATTCAGCAGTGGAATTCTCTGCCCCAGAGTGTGGTGGAGGCTCCTTCTTTGGAAGCTTTTAAACAGAGGCTGGATGTCCATCTGTCAGGGGTGCTTTGAATGCAATATTCCTGCTTCTTGGCAGAATGGGGTTGGACTGGATGGCCCATGAGGTCTCTTCCAACTCTTTGATTCTATGATTCTATGACACAAGTGCAAATAATAAAGCGAACTACCCCAGTCAGCTCCAAATCCTGAAGCAGCTCTTATCTTTTATTGCAATTTACACTATATACAGGAGCAGAGTAAAATACGTCCATTCACTTAGCTGAACTTCACAGGAAGTAAGAACACATGGTTATCTGATTTCTGTGGAATGTAAATACATCACTGGAACACTCCAAAAGTCCAAAGTTACGCTCTAAAAATCAAGCACAGCTCAATGCATTTAACCCTTACACTTCATTGCTACATCTCACAGTTTAAAGTATTACAACATTTAATAGAATCATAGAATCAAAGAGTTGGAAGAGACCTCATGGGCCATCCAGTCCAACCCCCTGCCAAGAAGCAGGGATATTGCATTTAAATCACCCCTGACAGATGGCCATCCAGCCTCTGTTTAAAAGCTTCCAAAGAAGGAGCCTCCACCACACTCCGGGGCAGAGAGTTCCACTGCTGAACGGCTCTCACAGTCAGGAAGTTCTTCCTCGTGTTCAGATGGAATCTCCTCTCTTGTAGTTTGAAGCCATTGTTCCATTGCGTCCTAGTCTCCAGGGAAGCAGAAAACAAGCTTGCTCCCTCCTCCTCCCTGTGGCTTCCTCTCACATATTTAGACATGGCTATCATATCTCCTCTCAGCCTTCTCTTCTTCAGGCTAAACATGCCCAGCTCCTTAAGCCGCTCCTCATAGGGCTTGTTCTCCAGACCCTTGATCATTTTAGTCACCCTCCTCTGGACACATTCCAGCTTGTCAATATCTCTCTTGAATTGTGGTGCCCAGAATTGACACAATATTCCAGGTGTGGTCTAACCAAAGCAGAATAGAGGGGTAGCATGACTTCCCTAGATCTAGACACTATGCTCCTATTGATGCAGGCCAAAATCCCATTGGCTTTTTTTGCCACCAAATCACATTGTTGGCTCATGTTTAACTTGTTGTCCACGAGGACTCCAAGATCTTTTTCAAACGCCCTGCTCTCGAGCCATCCAGCCTCTGTTTAAAAGCCTCCATAGTAGGAGCCTCCACCACACTCCGGGGCAGAGAGTTCCACTGCTGAACGGCTCTCACAGTCAGGAAGTTCTTCCTCATGTTCAGATGGAATCTCCTTTCTTGTAGTTTGAAGCCATTGTTCCGCGTCCTAGTCTCCAAGGAAGCAGAAAACAAGCTTGCTCCCTCCTCCCTGTGGCTTCCTCTCACATATTTATACATGGCTATCATATCTCCTCTCAGCCTTCTCTTCTTCAGGCTAAACATGCCCAGCTCCTTAAGCCGCTCCTTAAACCACCATATTCTAACAATTTCTTCTAGCAGGCCATTCCACAATCTTGGGGAAGCCAAAGAACATATCCTCTGGGTAACAGCCAGTCTAGTTTTGGCTGACTAAAGTAGATGTCTCCCATTTTGACATAAACGTGAATGCTCCTGTAAGGCTCAGGACTTCTAACCATTCCTGTCCCAACGCTTTGTAGAAAGACTTACATGTTTCCACTGATCTCTCTTTTCTTTCCTGTGACAGAAAATCATGCACACGAGAAAACGTCACCAAGACATGTTTCAGGACTTGAACCGGAAATTGCAGCATGCAGAGAAAGATAAGGAATCTCCCACAATAGATAGCAAGGTGAGCCTGGAATCTTTTCATTTAGATGTCTGATTTTTTTTGGAGCAGTTGCAACTCATGGCTTCTATTTCAGTGACAAAGAGTTTATCTACACGAGTCACTCTTTGAAAAACTTATCCTAGTTATATCCTACCTTGTTCATGGCCAGCATTATTTTTTAAATTTTAAATTATTGCATTTGGCGCAGCCATTGGTTTTTTAAATGCTGTGTGCTACTGTTTATTGTTTATTGCTTATTTTTTGTTTATGTGATTTATAGTAATTGTATTGTATTGATTGCTTTTGTTAATTGCTTTTGTTTATTGATGTGCTGTGGGCTTGGCCTCATGTAAGCCGCACCGAGTCCCTTGGGGAGATGGTAGCGGGGTATAAATAAAGTTTTATTATTATTGTTGTTGTTGTTGTTGTTGTTATTGTTAATGCAGAGCTAGTCCTGAGTAGCAATGTTCTGGAATAGTTCCAGGAGCAGGCACACTGTCCACTTCCATCCCAGTGTGATGGTGGGACAAAGTTCAGACCAGTCAGCCATTCCTCTTCCCCTCTTTATGTAACCAGGCACTTTTGCCAATATTGTCAAAGGCACCAACCGATGGCTAGTGGCTCTTTAGAACTATATGGCCTCAGCTATGGTGACAAAAAAACAATGTTAAGCAAATTCCATTCTGAATGTCAACATTTCGCCAAGGTTCAAAGACATAGCCATGCTATACTGGAACATCAGTATGCGAAAGAGTGTTTTAGCACCTTCAAGACTAGGTTCTTGTGGGTTTTTTCGGGCTATAGGGCCATGTTCTAGAGGCATTTCTCCTGACATTTCGCCTGCATCTATGGCAAGCATCCTCAGAGGTACTAGTATTAAAAAACTCTAAAATTACAACAGCAAAACATCAGAGAGGAAACAACCAGGCACATCTTAACACCTCTCAACAAAAGATTTTCCCAGGCTCAGCCAGGCCTTCAAATGCTAATGAAGGTGGTCAGTTGAAACATTCACACCTAGCTCCAGCAGAGAAGAGCTCTTTGCCCCACCCCAGCCATTCCACAGATATATAAACCCATTGTCCTAATTCCAACAGACCTCACTACCTCTGAGGATGCTTGCCATAGATGCAGGCGAAACGTCAGGAGAAATGCCTCTAGAACATGGCCCTATAGCCCGAAAAAACCCACAAGAACCTAGTGATTCCAGCCATGAAAGCCTTCGACAATACCTTCAAGATTAATTGAGAAAGAGAAGTTGATAACATAAGGTTTTGTAGATTTGGAGAAGTAGGCTATGAAAGCTTATGCTTCCAACTTTGGGTTTTGTTTTTTTTCAATTAGTCTCTAAGGAGTTACATACATCAGTTTGCATACTGATTCATCCCAAATGTCATGCAGATATCAGGCATGACATCCCACCACTGGAAGTAGGAAGCAATGAAGTTCAGAAGAAAGTTGCTTTGTCAACTATAGCTTCTGTAATTTCCAGCTAGTGTGGTTACTGACCATGATCTTGTTCCAAAAGGTTCCTCTGATCAGTGAAATATTGTGGTTTGCAGTCGCACAAACTCTGTGGTTCCTTTCTTTTGCTGACAATGCTTGGTGCTCAGGATCCCTGGAGCCTGCTGTTTTTGGAGAAACACATAATCACCATTCCCTGTATTCCATATTTTATAACTGCTCTGCCCTGATGCTTTCCACTTGCAGTATTTAATGCAACCAGACCACAGGCACAGTGAAGCAGTAGCAAAGGACTTTCTCAGTACAGGCAAAAGGACTGTAATTTCTTTCCTCTTGTGTTCTGACATGCTGCCTAATAAGAGAGGTGGTCCTGGCACCAGATACAGGACTCACCACTGGGATTCCCCCAACAGAGAAACTTTAACCCCATCTGCACTGCCCTATGAGGAGCCCCCAGTGGCACAGTGGGTTAAAGCACTGAGCTGCTGAGCTTGTTGATCGAAAGGTCACAGGTTCGATTCCGGGGAGCGGCGTGAGCTTCCGCTGTCAGCCCTAGCTTCTGCCAACCTAGCAGTTCGAAAACATGCAAATGTGAGTAGATCAATAGGTACCACTCCAGCGGGAAGGTAACGGCACTCCATGCAGTCATGCCGGCCACATGACCTTGGAGGTGTCTACGGACAACGCTGGCTCTTCGGCTTAGAAATGGAGATGAGCACCACACCCCAGAGTCAGACATGACTGGACTTAATGTCAGGGGACTACCTTTACCTTTTTACACTGCCCTATATAATGCAGTTCCACATTGCATTATAGGGCAATGTAGATGGGGCCTTAGATCTCAAATATCCAAAATTATGTGCCTGGAGTTTAGTTCAATTGCAACAAGGGATAAAATGGTCTACCAGTTTTTACTTCATGTTATTTCAGACTCAATCCTTTTATCTACAGAGATTTTTTTTTTTGTCATGTCAGGAGCGACTTGAGAAACTGCAAGTCACTTCTGGTGTGAGAGAATTGGCCGTCTGCAAGGACGTTGCCCAGGGGACGCCCGGATGATTTGATGTTTTTATCATCCTTGTGGGAGGCTTCTCTCATGTCTCCATCTGAGGAGCTGGAGCTGATAGAGGGAGCTCATCCGCCTCTCCCCGGATTCGAACCTGTGACCTGTCGGTCTTCAGTCCTGCCAGCACAGGGGTTTAACCCACTGTGCCATTGGGGGCTCCATCTGCAGAGATGTCAGTATTGCGACCCTTAGCCCCTCAAGGCTGACATTATAGTCCACAAAGTGTGAAATACCACCTTACTGTGGTATTGTAGTTTCCCCCAAGTAAAGTATCCTTCTTGAAGCTCAAGAAGTTGAGATCTCAGTGTCTACCTACCTAGATCCTCAAAATGAGTATTGCTCAGTTCCATATGCTCTCCTCTGAAGGTCCATCAACCGTGAAAATCTCATTGGCCCATCCATCTTGAAGCTCAAGAAGTTGAGATCTCAATGTCTACCTACCTAGATCCTCAAAATAAGTATTTCTCAGTTCCATATGCTCTCCTCTGAAGGTCCATCAACTGTGAAATCTCATTGGACAGGTGAAACATCCCATGGTGGCCTACATGGACTGGCTTTTGCCATGGCAAGTAGCTTACCAAATTATCCTTACCCATCTCTCATTACTATATGGTGTTCCTGGGCTTAATACCTCTATTCTGGTTTTACGAGTGTGGGCCAATCCATCTGTGTTGATTGAAAAGGGGAAAACACCCTGTTCTTTCTTGTATGTTTAGGCTATAAAACGGTGGAGTGTTTCCTCGGGTGGAAGTGATAAAACTAACGCTAGCGTAAGTCTTACTGCCTGTATTTCCTTGGAGAACCTCCTTCACTCCAAACCTTGCCATGATGCATGTCTCCAAATGCATTCCTTCTCCAGTATGAACCTCTGGCCCTCTCCCTTTATAAGCCAGGCATCCCTTGAATGCTTCCTTGACCCTCCCACACCTGACATCTCCCAGCATAGAAGACCTAGCCAAGTCTCCTCATCCATCCAATTGCATAATAAAAGCCTTGATTGCATTTCCTGAAAGCCATTCCTGACTGAGAATGCCCTTCTCTTGCCTTGCCAATATCCAAAGATCACTAGCATGTTTTATGCCACACACCCCTTTCTAATCCTACAATCCAGCATTGAATTAGTGAAAAAACTGAAACATTCTCCAGAACATTCCTTGTTGGTTCTTCTTTCATGAAATACGTTTTTTTCTGGCATAGTTTCTTTGGGTTTCTTCTCATTTGGTTTCATTTGCCTATCACTTTCACTAATGCCTATCACTATTATTTTTAGGTTCAGAAGATGAATAGCATGTTCCTGTTTCATTTTGCTTGCTTTCTCATTGAGAAAATGATGGTTGGATTGTGTATATGAGTACTTTCAGCTATCCCAACCATAATTTGAATCCTGTTGTTAGCATCTGTTAGAATAGAGTTATTGAATCACTCAGATTGATCTACATGTTCACTTCCCAGTCAACAGTTAACTCAACAGGTCTACTTTAGTTGGAATTAAAGAATAGAATTCAGATCTCTATCTCTCCATAAACAACCATAATTTGAATCCTGTTGTTAGCATCTGTTAATTTTAATCATAATTTGAATAATTTGAATCCTGTTGTTAGCATCTTCAGAATAGAGTTATTGAATCACTCGGAACTATCTGCATGTTCACTTCCCAATCAACAGTTGACTCAACAGGTCTACTTTAGTTGGAATGAAACAATAGAATTCAGATCTCTATCTCTCCATAAACAAGTGTACTACAAGAGTGGAGTGATCAATATCATGACTTTCAAGCACAACTGATTGCCGCTGTCATTTTTTTCAGACACTGTGTCAATGGTGAAATAATAATGAAATAAATGTCATTGTTATTGGCTTTTAGTGCCATGAAGTTGAACGTATATGATGGTAACTATGAATGAGAGACCTCTGAAAGAACTTAGCCAGAACTCTCTATTGTGGTCTACATTGTATAACTTTACATATGCTTAGCTGCACACCAAAAGCACTAGACCAGCCCTTCTCAACGTGTTGGTCTTCAGTCCTGCTGGGACAAAGGTTTAATCCATTGCACCATCAGGGGTGTCAGAGTGAGACCCTGGGGTCTACGCGCAGCGGAAATGAGGTTACTAGATCACACAGACACAAAACAGGACACTGTAGTCTGTTAGTTTCAGAAAAATAACAAAGTTTTTACTCAGTCTATCTCTACACGTCTATTTCCAAGCGACCTTACATCGGGAACTATAACAGGAACTACAAAGCACAACAATAGTACGGTTACAGAACATCTGCTTATCAGTTTTACTTTGGCTGTAAGCCGGCTACTCCCTAATTCTTCCCAGACGGAGAGAACTTGTTATCTTATTTCTGTCAAGGTCTCTTTTCTCTCTACCTCTCTGTCTCACACAACAACAATTCCAGCATACAATCAACATAACTGAATCCATCTTGAATACATATGAACACCATTGTTAATCATATTGAAACATATTGAAAAAACATACATGCATACTTTCAATAATCCTGACAAGGGGCTCCTCAATAACAGCTATGCAATCTCATTTCCCTGTAAGAAAGTTTGAATGACCCGTGTCCTGAAAGGATATGTACCATATAGGATTACAATGTATATATCTTATATAAATTTATTTATTTATTTATTTACTTCATTTGTATAGCGCTCTCTCTCAGCCCATAGGCGACTCAGAGCAGTTTGGACTGGATGGCCCAATAAAAATGTAGTGTTCATTTGTGGGATTAACAGAACTCAAAAACCTCTGAGGGAATTGACACCAAATTTGGACACAAGACCCCTAACAACCCAATGTACGTCCTTCACTCAAAAAATTGATTTTGTCATTTGGGAGTTGTAGTTGCTGGGATTTATAGTTCACCTACAACCAAAGGGCATTCCGAACCCCACCAATGATGCAAGTGGGTTAAACACTTGCACCAGCAGGACTGCTGAATGAAAGGTCAGCAGTTCAAATCTGGGGAGTGGGGTGAGCTCCTATCTGTCATCTCCAGCTTCTCATGCTAGGACATGAGGAAAGCCTCCTACAGGATGGTAAAACATCTGGGAGTTCCCAGGACATTGTGCTTGTAGATGGCCAATTCTCTCATACCAGAAGCGACTTGCAGTTTCTCAAGTCACTCCTGATATGGAAAAAAAAACCCTCTTTCGGGAATGAATTTCTCTTCCGAGAGGTAGATTTCTCTCACCTCCTGTTGTCTCACCCCCATTCTTAACTATGGATCATTTGTTGGTTGGATGTTTGTATCTCTGGGACTGCCTGTATAAGAGAGAAAAGACTCGACACATTAAACTATGCACATTATCCTCCCCCCCCCCCCAATGAGTGAAGATAGTAAAAATTATTCATATTCCAATAGCCCATTAGAGTGAGAATTAAAGCACTAAAGACAAGTACTAAGAAATCATGTCCTGGTGGTTTTATATCAGAGTAATTTAAAGTGATTAGTGAGAATATAGTAAAACTTAATTGTAATCTTTTTCACGTGAGCTATGCTTTGAGTCCCAGTCTTGGCAAAAAGGCATGATAATAAATAAAGTTAATAAGAACGATAGCAACTTAGTTAGAAGATAGCTAAAGGAGGAAATTAATCAGCATGAAAATAAGCAGGTAACCCTAACACCGAGATCATGGAAGGAAACTTTTCTTAAATTTGGATGATAAGGTTTTAGACAACAGAAGTACCCTAGTCTTTGAAAAGAAGCATAGAAAATGGTATAAGTGCTCAACCAGTATTGAAAGCAATCCCTCAGAAGAATAGAGCCTGTAACATTAGAGGCCTCCTGATACAATACTAGGGTCTCCACCAGTACTGTTTGTCCAGAAAAATGATGATTGATATCCTGCATCAAACACATATCTAGGATGTTGTAGCTGTTTTCCTTTTCCCCATCAGACCTCTCCCAAAATCTTAAAATAGAGGCATCAGTACTAAAGGATGACATTCTGTGAAGCTGGCAGGCTTTCATGATGCCAGGGCTCTGCCTTATTCAGGGACAGAGATGAACCAAACAAAAACCCAGTTTGTAGAAAACAATTTAATTAAAACAGCACTTGCTTTCTGGCTGCTTTAATAGTCCAAAATATTCGGCCACAGAATAAACAAAAATAGCAAACACTGCTCAAGGTCACCCAACGGGTTTCATGGCTGAGTGGAGAAATCTCTCAAGAGGTGACTTGGATGGGGCTGTAACAATTGGGGACTACCATGCTCCCTTCCCCTGGCTTCTGTTCACATTGAATGGAGGTGCTGCACATGCTCATTTTACTCTCATTTCCCTAGTGCTGAAACTGTTTATCTTAAATTGGTCACCTTACCTCTACTTCCTGCTAACCCTCAGTCTTTGCAATGCCAGATGCATATGACAAAAATCCCTTTGTGAATGATGCTAACATGCTGCATTCAATCTCAATGGCCTGTTTCAAAGGAAAGGGCATCGTTCCTGAACAGTTTCCAAAGGATGGAAATACCTCTTTGGTTTCTGAAGTATGGCAGGGCCTTTGTACTTACGTCTTGCTGGCAGGCCTCCGATAAGTAATTGGTTACTAACAGTATGAACATAATGTTGGACTGGATAGACCATTAGTGTCATCCAGTATGGCTGTTCTTGCGTTCATACAAACATGCTGCATAGGTATTCTTTCAGAAATGTGCCAAAATACAACGATGTATGTTGACTAAGTTGGCACTACATCTCAGCAAGGATTTAGGGATCAAAAAGGAAAGGAGACTTTATCAGAAAAGGTCATGTTCTTCTCTCTTTCAGAGCATTAATAGAAACCATGTTGATGAGAAATTCACATCAATGTAGTCAAGAATGAGGAGATGCACCTCATCTTCTCCAATATCAGCTGGTAGCATAACTCAATGGAGAGTTGAATCCACTAGTGAGGAAAACTTGCCCTCTTGGTGTTCAAGAATGGAGACATTTGTGAAATATATTTAATGATACAGTGCTGACCCAGATTTCAGCATTAACACTAAGCTATCTGGTTCCAAAGCAACAATATATTGTACCCTTTATTGCACTTTTTGAAAGACTACCCGGCTTCACTTCACTTAGGCGATCCCTTGTTGTCTGAGTAGGATAATCTTCCAGGTGCGTGGAGTCCTATTCTTGATCTGCATCGTCTCCCGCAGTGAGGGCATTGGTTTCCAGGTGGAAGGCGGTCCCAGACGGGGTTGGCTTGACACTCCTTCCTCTTGGCACATTTCTCTCTTTCACCCTCCATTCGTGCCTCTTCAAATTCTGCAGCACTGCTGGTCACAGCTGACCTCCAGCTGAAATGCTCACAGGCCAGGGCTTCCCAGTTCTCAGTGTATATGCCACAGTTTTTAAGGTTGGCTTTGAGCCCATCTTTCAATCTCTTTTCCTGACCACCAACATTCCATTTTCCATTCTCGAGTTCAGAGTGGAGCCACTACTTTGGGAGACGGTGATCAGGCATCCAGACAATGTGGCCTGTCCAACGGAGTTGATGGGGAAGGACCATCACTTCAATGCTGATGGTCTTTGCTTCTTCCAGCACACTGACATTTGTCCACTTGTCTTCCCAAGAGATTTGCAGGATTTTCCAGAGGCAGCACTGATGGATTCGTTCCAGAAGTTACATGTGACGTCTGTAGACAGTCCATGTTTCACAGGCATATAGCAGGGTTGGGAGGACAATAGCTTTATAAACAAGCACCTTGGTATCCCTAAATTAATTTAATTTATTTAATTTATTTAATTTTATTTATTTATTTAATTAATTTAATGATACAGTGCTGACACAGATTTCAGCATTACCACTAAGCTATCTGGTTCCAAAGCAACAATATATTGTACCATTTATGGCACTTTTTGAAAGACTACATTCAACAGCTTGTAAGACGTGTTTGGGATATACCGGCTATATTATGGCCAATCATTAAACAGCAGTTATTTCACCTGCATGGAAAATTACTATGCAAACACTAAGTGAAAACCATTCACATTCAACCTTTTCTTCTGTTTGAGTTTATTATTATCATTAGCAAAAAGCAAAGTCAATGGTAGGGTCAGAGTGCCTTTTACGAGGTAAATGTTTAATTTGCTTTTCCTTGAGATTTATAATAGCTTAAAATAAGCAGCTTCTTTAATTTCCCTGGTTGAGTACACATCTCTTTCAGGATGGTGCTCCCTTACTTTGGGCTTTTGTTCATTTCCTTTAATCACTTTGGGTTCCAGTCCAGGATTTAAATGAGTTACCCAAAGCCTATCCACATCAGGGGGTCAGCAGCTCTTTCAGTGTTTAGACTAAAATCCAAGACAGATCGGCCATTTCTCTGCTTCTGTGCTATTACCCAATCTATATCCATTGAGTTCCCAACCTAAATCCAATTCAAATCACAACTAGAGTAGATTCATTGAATCAATGAAACCAAAAGGAGTGTTGAATTGTCAATTTCCATTGATTCAATGCATCAACTGTATTCTATAGTGATTTCTATAGAATGAAATGTTTGTTGTTATGTGCCTTCAAATAATTTTCAATTTATGGCAATCTTAAAGCAACTTTATTCCAAATTTGTTAACATTGTGTCCTTCTGAGAATGAAGGCGTGTGCCTTGCCCACGGATATCTATTAGGTTTCCATGATCAAGTGGGGATGCAAAATCCTGATTTCCCAATATCTTAACACAAAAATCAAACAAAGACACCACATTACTCTGCTGAGAAGGAAATGTACAAATGACACCACCAGAAAAATGGATGCATTCTTGGTTTCCATATGCATGCAGACGTCACAGAATGCAGAATCCTTTTGCATTAATGACATTATTTCCAGAATGAGAGAAAATGAGGAATCTTTTTCAAAGACATCAGCAATGACCCAAAGCTTTGTAGGACTGGGCTGTGGCGCAGATAGTTAGTAGCCAGCTGCATTAAATCACTACTGATCATGAGTTCATGAGTTCGAAACCAGCCAGGGTTGGAGTGAGCTCCCAAGCATTAATAGTTAGAGTGAGCTCCTGAGCATTAATATCTTGCTGTTGACTTATACAGCTCGAAAGCCAGGTGCATCTGTCAAGTAGGAAATTTAGGTACCACTTTATGCCAGGAGGCTAATGTAACTAATTTATGACACCATAAAACCTTCTAGCAGTGTGCATAAGAATGAGAAAGTACTCCATCAAGGACTTGATGTCACAAGTGGACGGTGAAGCAGCAGCTCCCCCTGTGGCCGGAATCGAGCATACCCTCATGAAGCTGGAAAGCTAGAATGTTAAATTGCCTCTGTGTCTGTCTATATATGTTGTATGTCTAATGGCATTTAATGTTTGGCATGTATATGTGCATTGTAATCCACCCTGAGTCCTCTGTGGGGTGAGAAGGGTGGAATATAAATACTGTAAATATTTATTTATTTATTGCATTTGTATACTGCGTTTTTCAGCCAGAGGCAATTCAAGGCGGTTCAAAGTCGGCAGCAATTCGATGCCATAACAAATATCAGGGTACAGTTAAAAACAATTATAAAAACACTTATAATAAACTAGTGGTCCCCTGCCAGGCGTTGCTGTGGCCCAGTCTGGTGATGTGGAAAATAAAGTAATGAGAAAGTGTTGTTTTCTAATATATGTAATTCCTTTATGCTTGTGGTAAATAGTACTTCTTGCTGTTTCTTTGCCAGTGTTGATGTGGAGATTGTCTGGTTTGCCTACTCTGGAACATGTAACATATCATTGTCCTTCTTTAGGGGTCCCTTTCAAATCTTTGATACTGCATCTATCATATACACACGTGTGTGTGTGTGAATGGCTGGATGGCCCTTTGTCAGGAGGGCTTTGATTATGTTTTCTTGCCCTGGTGAAGGGAGTTGGACTGGATGGCCTTAAGGGAGCATTTCTCAACCTGGGAAGTTAAGACCAGGGGCGTGTCAGAAGGGTCACCAAAGTCCACCAGAAAACACAGAATTTTTTGTTGGTCATGAGGGTTCTGTGTGGGATGTTTGGACCAATTCCATCGTTGGTGGGGTTCAGCATGCTCTTTGATTGTAGGTGAACTATACATCCTAGTAACTACAACTCCCAAATGTCAAGGTCTATTTCCCCCAAACTCCATCTGTGTTCACATTTGGGCATATTGAGTATTCCTGTCAAGTTTGGTCCAGATCCATCATTGTTTTGAGTCCACAGTGTTCTCTGGATGGAGGTGAACTACAATTCCAAAATTCAAGGTCAATGCCCACCAAACCCTTTCAGTATTTTATGTTGGTCATGGAAGTTCTGTGTGTCAAGTTTGGTTCAGTTCCATTGTTGGTGGAGTTCAGTATGCTCTTTGATTATAGGTGAACTATAAATCCCAGCAACTACAACTCCCAAATGACAAAATAATAATTTTTGAGTGATGGTCACTCCTTGTGTAGTGAGACGTTTTGTTGCCAACTTTGTTGTGATTTCGTTCATTGGTTCTTTTGTTTTTAAGGTACTCATTATGCACAGAGCATCTATATATAAAAAAATGTTCTGCGCGTAATGAGTACCCTAAAAACAAAAGAACCAATGAATGAAATCACACCACATTTGGCAACAAAATGTCTCACAAGACAAGGAGTGACCACCACTCAAAAAATTATACCTTTGTCATTTGGGAGTTGTAGCTGATGGGATTTATAGTTCACCTATAATCAAAGAGCATTCTGGATTCCACCAACGATGCAATTGAACCAAACTTGGCACGCAGGACTCCCCTGACCAACAGAACACACTAGAAGGGTTTGGTGGGCATTGACCTTGAGTTTTGGAGTTGTAGTTCATCTACTTCCAGAGAGCACTGTGGACTCAAACAATGATGGATCTGGACCAAACTTGGCACAAATACTCCATATGCCCAAATATGAACACAGATGGAGTTTGGGGAAAATAGGCCTTGACATTTGGGATTTGTAATTACTGGGATTTATAGTTCACCTACAATCAAATAGCATTCTCAATCCCACAAATGACAGAATTGGGGCAAACTTCCCTCACAGAACTCCCATGACCAACAGAAAATACTTAAGGCCATCCAATCCAACTCCCTTCACCAGGGCAAGAAAACGTAATCAAAGCCCTCCTGATAAAGAGCCATACAGCCATAGAGATAGATATATAGATAGATGATAGATATGATTCACACACACACATAGTATCATAGATTTGAAAGGGACCCTTAAAGAAGGACAATTACATGTTACTTATCCCAGAGTAGGCAAACTAGAAAATCTCCACATCAACACTGACAAAGAAACAACAAGAAATACTCTTTACCGACAAGCATAAGGAAATTACATATATTAGAAACCAACACTTTCTCATTACTTTATTTTCCAGGTCACCAGACTGGGCCACAGCAATGTGTGGCAGGGGATGGCTAGTTTTTATATATAGAGATAAATAAATAGACAACAGCTTTAAAAATAGTGGTTCAAGAAAACCCTTCCCTGGTTCTTGGAGTTCTATTTCAATCACTCTGGAGATCTTGAATGAATGCATTTGCCAGTTAACTTCCTAAATCTAGAGTGCTATCCTTGCTTAGTGCCCAAGAGAGCTAATTTCCTCCTTCTCCTTTTCCCTCCTCTGTAGCAAGAAAAGCAGCAGACGCCAAACAAGAGACCCTGGGAAGGAATCCGGAAGGTCCACTCGCCCCCGGCGTGGGTTAAAAAGGACATGGAGCCTATTTCCCCCTCTCCTTTGGAACTCAAAACTGTCGAATGGGAAAAGGCAGGGGCCACCATCCCTCTGGTGGGACAGGACATCATTGACCTCCAGACAGAAGTCTGAGAAGGCTAAAAGAAGAAAGACTCTGAGGGCGCCTGTCCGCTCCCCCTGCCAGGAAACAACACACAAACCGACAACAACAACGTACAAGCCGATAAGATGTTTTTTATATATTAAAAAAAAAGAACCAATTAAACGGAATCAAAGTGGAACGTGGAAAGTCTGTTGGTTTCTTTGCGAAACCCTTGGGTTGAAGAGGAAGGATATCCGGAGTAACCTTTGTATTGTTCTCTGCAGACGGAATTGGGGGGAATCTATTACTTTGTAGAACATAGTAGCAGTAGGTGCAGAACGTAATACGGTCTTTCCCAGGTAAGGAAGGAAGGTAGGAGAAAGGAAGCAGGCCGAGGGGAAGGGAAGGAAATATGGGGATGGGGAGGATCCAAGTTTTTCGAACATGACCTCAGCCTCCAGTTCTCAGTAGTGAAGAGGTGGCTAAATGATACTTTGATAGATGTCAGGATGTGAAGGAACCTACAACCAGAAGGAAGATTTCAGTGGGAAACCACCCAAGGAGCTAATGACCACTGTTCCTCTGGAGAAGGCCAACAGTCAGTTGGTTCTTGGGATGTTGATGGGAGGACAAGAAAGATGCCCATCTGCCTTCCATCCCCTTGAAGTTATCAGAAAGGGTTCTACCAAGAAAAATGTTCCTGGTGACTGGATTTCTCTAGCTGTTCTCCAGGAGCAACGTCATTGAGGTGGGAGAGCAAGTCCTGAGGAGTAACTCCAAAAATGTCTTCTTCTTCCATACTGGATTTTCAGAACTCTTTGAGGAACAGCAATTGTGATGTGTGAACAATTGGTGGGAGCTTTTCTTAAGACTATTGAGTTCCATTCAACCTTTCTCCAGAGAGAGACACACACAATAAAAAAAGGACAACGAACATTACTGGGTAAGGGAGGGTTTTCTAAAAATAAAAACAAAAGCAAACCATGAACAAAAAAGAATGTAGGTCATTATACTGACTGTTAGTAGATCCTAGACAAAGCTAACGGCAGGCCTTTGTACAAAAAGGGTCACGTGGCCTCATCCCTCCTCCTTTTACTTTCAAAAGACTCAACAGCGGCCCCTCCTCGTCCGCCTTCTCAAAGTGGGCGGAACCTGGTCAACGGACCAGAAAAATTGAGGACATGGAGAACATTGCCTTAGGACTTGAGACAAACTGGAAAAAAACAAACATTGAGTAACATCTACTTGGGGAAAAAAAATCTATTTTTTTCTTCTTTTTCTTTTCTTCTTTTTCTTTTCTTCAATAAAAAGACAACTTGAAACCCAAGGATTTCCCTTTCTTTGACTTGAATCCTCCTTAAATGTCTTTTGCTATGTGGTTCTGTGCAAATGCGGTAAGAATTCCAGATTGGTTTCTGTATCTTTGATTCTAAGGGAAAATGTCTTTGGGTTGCTGTGAGTTTTCTGGGCTGTATGGCCATGTTCCAGAAGCATTCTCTCCTGACGTTTCGCCCACCTCAGAGGTTGTGAGGTCTGTTGGAAACCAGGCAGAAAGCAGCCAGTCTTTGAAGCTGCAAGGCTATTCAATTCTAATCCAGGTGGCCAGTTGCAACATTTTCACTTGCATCCAACAGACAAGAGTTCTTATTCTCACCCTGGACATCATTCCCCAGTGGTGCATGAGGTCTATTGGAAACCAGGCAGAAAGCAGCCAGTCTTTGAAGCTGCAAGGCTATTCAATTCTAATCCAGGTGGCCAGTTGCAACATTTTCACTTGCATCCAACAGACAAGAGTTCTTTTTCTCACCCTGGACATCATTCCCTGGTGGTGCAGTGGGTTAAACCCGTGTGATGGCAGGATTGAAGACCGACAGGTTGCAGGTTCTAATTCGGGGAGAGGTGGATGAGCTCCCTCTACCAGCTCCAGCTCCTCATGTGGGGACATGAGAGAAGCCTCCCACAAGGATGATAAAAACAAATCATCCGGGCATCCCCTGGGCAACGTCCTTGCAGACGACCAATTCTCTCATACCAGAAGCGACTTGCAGTTTCTCAAGTCACTCCTGACACGACAAAAAAAAAAATTCCACAGATATATAAACCCATCTTTCCTAGTTCCCAACAGACCTCACAACCTCTGAGGATGCCTGCCATAGATGTGGGTGAAATGTCAGGAGAGAATGCTTCTGGAACATAGCCATACAGCTCCGAAAACTCACAGGAGCTCAGTGATTCCACCATTAAAACCTTCAACAATACAATGATTGTCTTTCTCCTTCACAGTGTCGGAATATTGCATTGTTTTGTGTTTAGACTAAAATCCAAGACAGATTAGCCATCTCACTGCTTCTGTGCTATTACCCAATCTTTGTTAGAATTGCCATGATTAAATTAAGTTCGATACTATGATTTTATAGGAAAGCCATAGAGATCAGTAAAACTATCCCCCCCCCCACACACACACACTCACACATACTGTAAATATGATAACTTGAAGCACTGATCTTGCATTTTTCAAATAATATTTATACGTTCCACCAATTTCTTTTGTTTCCCCATTGAAATAGTAAAGCACAAACTTTCCTGTGATATATTTTTTGCCATTTAAGAGGATAATAGTCAGCAATGCTTAAACAAAAAAGTATCAGGATCTATCTAATTGTCTATCTACCACTGAATTGTCGATATATCCCTATATTAGCAATGTTTAGCTTTATTCTGTTTGGTCTTTTTCTCCATGATATAAATGTTTGTTATAATTCAACTTCTACCTCTTTGTCTACCTATCATGGTGGCCTTTTGCTAGTGGTAAATATATGCTTAAAAGCCTCCAAAGAATTGTGGAAGTTGAAGTCCAGAACATCTCGAGACCTGAGGTTTGCACATGTCTGTTCTAAAGACTGTAATCAGCCATAAAGCTGGAAGAGATTGCAAAGACCTACTGCCATGCAAGAATCTGTTGAGATGGGCGGCTATAGTAGGCTGTAAGAGCACCTAGAGCTTCGGAGACCTTCGGGGACATGAGAGAAGCCTCTTTGCAAGGTTGCGGAGCATCCGTGCATCCCCTGGGCAATGTCTTCATAGACGGCTGATGATTATCTCATTCCAGAAGCAACCAGAATAGATATAAGTGAAACATCAGAAGAGAATGCTTCTGGAACATGGCCATAAATCCCGAATAACTTACAGCAACCCAGTGATTCTGGCCATGAAAGCCTTTGACAACACATAGTCAATAGGCAGTTAGGATTTGTGGAAGTTGGAAATCCAAAACACCCAGAGGGCCCAAGTTGGCCCATGACTGTTGTAGAGCCAACAACACATCTGAAGGGCTGGACTCTTAGAATGACTGGAATTCTAAACAGGAATTCAAACATGGGCTGGGAAGGCATGTTTCCAATTTCTCACTCAATGTAAAAGATTCACTCATTAATCTTGGGATATGTATTGTCGAAGGCTTTCATGGCTGGAATCACTGGGTTGTTGTAGGTTTTTCCGGGCTATATGGCCATGTTCTGGAGGCAATTTTTCTCTTGACGTTTCGCCTGCATCTATGGCAAGCATCCTCAGAGGATGCTTGCCATAGATGCAGGCGAAATGTCAAGAGAAAAATTGCCTCCAGAACATGGCCATATAGCCCGGAAAAACCTACAACAACCCAATCTTGGGATAGTTGGAGTCTTACCTACCTCACAGGGCCGTTGTTAGGATGCCAAGGTGAGAAATCATAAGGTCATTGGAGGAGGAGCAGAATGCCATTATAAAGAGAAAATAAGAGAAGGGAATGAGAAAAAGCGTAATGCTCCAAAGACGTTGTAAGTATGTATTTTGCTCCTGTAAAAAGGAAGAAGAAAATGTGTGCCTCCCCCTATCCCATGTAAGATAAACTGAGCCCTGTGTGCACAGGTAAAGTGTCTTAGCAATTAACTTTTCCATGTTGTGCTTTTCAAAAGTAAACAAGGGATCAGACTATTAATCCACTGAGTTCAAGAGGCTTAAAATGAATTCAGTGCAACTATGCAAATGTAAGAGGGTTTTAGACCATGTTATATGGGATTTGCAGAGGAAAGTTCTCACCTATGGTCCCAGTGTGGATATTTAGAGCTTGGATTTCGTTTTATCTTGTAGGTGTGATCTAGCTTCTTCTTTTAATATTTTTCTCAGGTGGTTTATGTAGAGCTCTCTTAAAATTCCATATTAACTTCTTCAATCATGTTGAGATTTACTTATTTATTGTGCCAGGAGTAAACCAAACAGTTGTATTGCATTTTTTTTACAAACAAACAAACAAACAAAACATAAAGTTTGCAAGCTTGGTAGTTGATTAAATGTCCTTTGACCAGTATCTGGCCCCTTGGAGTGCCTCTGGTGTTAATATAAGAAGATCCTCCATTGTGCATGTAGCTGGGCTCAGTTTGCATTGCAGTAGATGGTCTGTAGTTTGCTCTTCACCACTTTGGATTCCACTGTGTAGCCCCATTTCTTAAGGTTGACTCTGCATCTTGTGGTACCAGAGCGCAGTCTGTTTAGTACCTTCCAAGTTGCCCAGTTTTCTGGGATTTACTGATGGTATGAGTTATACCTGCAATGGCCCACTATACTGAGCTGCTAGAGTTGCCACTGAAATACTGCCAGTAATATAATTTAAAGCAAAGTCTAGATAATTGCATCTTATTGGGCAAAATAACAGGAATACTTACAAAAGTGAAACAATGCCGAAGATCCTATATGGCAGACTTAATTGCAATTCTGTAGCTAGGTTTTTATTTATCGTGTCATCAGCAACCATTGTATTACAATTCTAACAGAGCAAAACAAACACATAGATTAAAAAGAAAAAGAAAAAAAACACAGATTTTGCAAATTTGGTAGTTGGTTAAATGTCCTTTGACCAGTATCTGGCCACTTGGAGTGCCTCTGGTGTTGCCGCAAGAAGGTCCTCCATTGTGCATGTGGCAGGGCTCAGGGTGCATTGCAGCAGGTGGTCAGTGGTTTGTTCTTCTCCGCACTCGCATGCCAAGGATTCCACCCTGTAGCCCCATTTCTTAAGATTGGCTCTGCATCTCGTGGTGCCAGAGCGCAGTCTGTTCAGCGCCTTCCAAGTCGCCCAGTCTTCTGAGTGCCCGGGGGGAGTCTCTCATCTGGTATCACCCATGAATTGAGGTGCTGGGTTTGGGCCTGCCACTTTTGGACTCTCGCTTGCTGGGGTGTTCCAGCGAGTGTCTCTGTAGATCTAAGAAAACTATGTCTTGATTTAAGTCGTTGACGTGCTGGCTGATACCCAAACAGGGGATGAGCTGGAGATTTCTCTGCCTTGGTCCTTTCACTATTGGCTGCTACTTCCCGGCGGATGTCAGGTGGTGCAATACCGGCTAAGCAGTGTAATTTCTCCAGTGGTGTAATTTCTCCAACTAGGTAACATGCCCTGTTCTAATTCCCCCAATTCACCTCAAAAGCCAGCAGCTTCACTGATTGACAGAGATCTGTTGTTCCAGCAATCAGTTTGAGTAGAGTGATGTTTCCAGCCTTTTCCCAATGCCATTCTCCAATCTGATGAGGAATTGTGACAAGGGTCCCCTACTTCTGAAAATTACAACCTTGGTTCCTGGTGAGAAATACCATCTTATTGCACCCTGATGGCCAGCAGAATAGACCTTCTTTACCCAGAGTGTTTCCTTGGAGTTGCAGATGGGCTTTGGGCAGCATTTCCAATCATGGCAATAATTGTGAATAATACAAATTATATGATGGTTGAATGAAAAGTAATGCCTCCACCTTCATTATTTGAGTTTGGATGAGAACATTTTAATAAATCAAATGCATAAATAATCCTTAGAATGTGCTCTTTAACTACCACTATTCACTTTTCAACATAATCACCAGACAATTGGATACATTTCTGCCAACGATGAACAAGTTTTCTGAAGCCGTCATAGAAGAAGTCAACACTCTGTTTCTGCAACCAGCATCTCACAATCCTCTCAACATCTTCATCAGAAGCATAATGATGTTCCTGCAGATCTTTTTTAATTATCAGGAACAGATAGAAGTCAAACGGTGCTAAATCTGGACTCTATGGAGGATGTCGTACAGTGGTGAGACCCAGTCTCTCAAGTTCCAAGTCTGTGCGCTTTCATTTCAGGTGTCAGCATTCCGGGTACCCATCATGCACAGATCTTCCGATAGCCAAGCAAAGCAATAATGTGACCCACATGTTCTTGTGAAATGCAAATTATGTTTTAAATTTCTCTCTGAGTGATACGACGATCGTCCTGAATCAATTGGTCAACCTTTTGCTTGTGAAACTCAGTGGTTGCTGTCACAGGA